AAAAAACATTAGTTTCAGGGATGGAGAATATGTACATACAAAACTTGTAGACATAGAAATCAACATTACTTGATGATTGGAAATTTAATATCTTAAGCAATCATCAAATGTCGGGATTTCAAGCCAGACTGTTATAGAAAAGGGAAGGTAGAAAAACATATAATGGCAACTATTAGTACTTGAAGTGAAACTCAGGGCAGAAAGAAAGAAATGATAATGAATACTTGTAACTGGTATAATCGTGCGGTGGCAAATTGCAACAAAAAAACACTATGTTGCCTACAAGTAATTCTCCTTGTAGAAGTAATGATAGAAAATAAAGAGTTAGGACTCTTATTAATAGTTTTGTTAATATGTCCAGTCAGCTTTGAGAGAGCCAGGTCATAATGAAGGAAGCAAAAAATACAACTTTTGGCTAACTATTTTTAGCAATTTATATCTCTCTCTTCAAACACATATATGCAAATTTTGACCCCCCCTTCAATCAGATGGGTTCGAATGGAACTCATTTCTATAAATTTTCTGTGAAGATGAAATAAGATCTTTCATTATATCTTTGTCACAAGATTACATTTGAATTCCCTCATTTGTGCACAAAGTTTCTGCACAAACTATGTAGTGTGTATTTTTATGTCCACACTGTTTATGTGTAAAACAGTAAAATTTATATTAGAAGTATTTTTCCTGTTAATGCAATGTTGAATAATGCCTTTAAGTCTCATCATAGACTCTTGAAATGTTCATATCCGCTCAACATTTATAGTAATAAAATCTGTCAAATTAATAAATAAAAAATTCATTACTTCTTTAGAAATCACTTCGTTTACATTTGAATATGAAACTGAGCAGATACGAAAATTTCAAGGGTCTATGATGAGAAAAATTTCACTTTAAACACTATTCAGCCTTGCTTGATCAGAAAAACTTCTTAGCTGAGTTGGTTAAAGCATGTCGGATTTAATGACAGTTCCATCTGCTCAAGGGGACACAGGTTCAAATCTTGCCAGAGAGCACATATTTTTCCTTAAGATTTCTTGAATATTCAGACTGGTAGACAAAAATAATTAATAAAAATCTATTATTGTGTTAGAAATCGCTTTATGTTTGAATACAAAACTGAGCAGATATGAAAATTTTGAGAGTCTAAGAAGGATTTTGCTTAGAACTGCTATTCACTCTTGCTTGACTGGCAAAAGTTCTTTGTAGTGGAATTGGTTAAAGCATGTCGGATTATAAGTATTTGCTAATTCTCATTGAGTTTACATGTATCTTTACTTGCATGCCACTATGGCTGATAGGAAAGAATGCGGGTAAGGTAAGAAAAGGGTTATTCCTTGCTTATTTTCTTATCAAGAAAACAACTTTGTAAGGAGCAGTTAAATTGATTTGAAGTTTGTTTTTTTTTATATTAGACAAACATTAATTTTATTATTTTGTCAATTTAAATTTTTGTCTGTTAAATTTTAACAGACAAAAATTTAAATTAAATTAACATTTTTATAGGCTATAAAAATGTTAATTTTATTTTTATGCGAACAGGTTAATTTTTTTTGTAGTAGTACCCATGCTTTTTTCGGGGATATGAACGCAAAATGAACGTAAGCCGTATAATATGCTGATATTCGAATTAGTTTTAGTGGATCTGTTCTCTGTGACAATACATCACTCTGCACCTTCAACTATTTTTTTTAGTTAGTAGTTACCAGTATTATTACCATCATCGTCACCGACACACAAACACTGAAAACTTAGAGTCGAACTCCATAAGATCTTTGTCAATAAAATTACTTTTTTTTTAGCTTAAAAATCGGAGTTACTTCAGCTGTTGAGCGAAATTCACAAATAGGGAGACTCCGCCTAAACAGTCCGTTGCACAATCATTTAAAGTAAATAAAAGTAGGTATTTTTATTCTTTATTAAAATGCTTTCTTTTATTAAAGTTGTAAGAATAAGAAGATCGACTCGACAGAACAGCATGAATTAGTACGGTAGCAAAAAAGTCGAAAATTCCCTGCACAGTGCAAAGCCAACCATAACCAGTAGTAGTGATGCTATTTTTCAGAGTTTTTACTTAGGGATACAATCTTGTTTTCTAAATTAACATTGTATTTTCCCCTCTTAGACTAGTGAAACACTATTCCATTGGTCGGCTATATTACTTGTTTCACAGGGTCAAGCAAGAATCAAGATTATTTGTGGAAGAAGCACGTGAGTTTTTTTTTTTTTTAAATGACAACGAAAACAAGAAAGCAACACTGAATGAAAAGGTGTGGACAGATCAGACGTCGGATCGTAGACAGAAATCAGAATTAATTCATAATTTTTCACGATATGAAACAAGGGTCAATTTTAAATTAAATTGGAATTTAGCGAACGTTTAGATCTGATGAAATACTTTGAAGCTGCTTAAGCTTCCTTAAAGTTATTAATTATAATTATTTCTAAAAGTTCGCCAAATTCCAATCTACATCTGTTGTAGAATAAATTATTATTAAGCATTAACTGAAGGTTCTCGAGTGAATTATTCCGATTAAATTCCATATTATCGCTCCTGAGAAAACATTACAAAAATATAAGATTATGAATAATAATGTAGACTTTTTACGAAATAACAACAATGCCTAATAATCTCAGAACTTAAAACATCACCTAAAGAAAACAAAAACAGGATCTACTTTAAAAATATAAAATGAGGGGAAGGCTTTTTTCTTTCTCTCGTGTACTGTATAAAAAAAAAAAAAAGAAAGAAAGAAGAGACCAAAAACAACATTATTCTTCGTTTTAGGTAATAGATTGACGTTTAAGAAATTATTATTTTCTGGTTATTTTTTTTTTTTTTGTGTGTAAAAAAAATAAAATAAATACCCACTACAAACACAATACATTACAATCACACTGCTGAAGTAATTTTGGGACTGTGAACCTCAAAACAAGGATCGTCACTTACAATGACTACAGCTATAATTTCAACAAAATAACAATCTTCGAGTTTTTTTTAAAGATTATCAATTAATTATTTTTAAAATGTTAAACATCAACTTAAACTACTAACTTGTACAAGTTTGTTGCATACTGAGTACCATATGCAACTGCCACACATCCAAAAACTGATTTTTTCCAATGGTTCCGAACAGTTTTGACAACTCGAGACACAACCGATGCCATCGCAGCTAATTTTTTCCCTTTATAATCAACCTAGACTAAAGGCTCATCTATAAAGTATTACATAAAGATTGAGCGATGATCGCCCACTACACGTGGGAAAGGAGAGGGCACCGGTTTGAAGAAATGTCCTTCAAATCCAACAAGGGCAGGTAAGTCAGCAGGACTTGTCGTTGGATACGCACCCATTTTTTTTTTTCATTTAAAATTTTTTTTTTCGAGCGTAGAACACATGAGCCAATGCAGGAATATAAATAAACTTACTATAATTGATTTAATTACTTTAGTTTTATTATACTAAACCTGTTGTCATTATAAATAAATAAAAAAAATATGTTGAAACTGTGTCATCATTTTGTTTGAGAAGTACGGGTGGCCAGAAGAATCATAACGGTTCTTTTGGGCACCCATACTCAGATACCTTAACTGAACATGTTTACTTGGTTATTTATTTTAGTGCATTATTTTACTTACACGCGGTGCAAACAATAGTTAGTGCAGCATTAAAACAAATTAGCTGTAAATAATCTGTACCTTTTTTTTATACACGACTGTTATTTATATTATTGGCAACTGAGACTTTTTAGTTTTACTTTTACATAAGTTGTGAAGTAATCTCTCTAAGTAACGTGATTAATCAAAATAAATTGGTGCTGCGTAATTTGCTGAATTTTTTCATACAAGAAATAAAAATATGTAAGGTTCTCGTCTCTATGCTTTTTTATTATTAAACTACAGAAGTTTTATTGTTAGGTTTTACAAAAAGGAATGTTTCCCCAATCATTACAATAACCTATTCAATTGAAGGGTTCTTCCCACATATCCACATAAACTGTGCCTCTTAAGTCTTATTTCAATCTTTAATCCTTTTCACTGAATGTGTCGGAGTTAGCTCCTCCGTAGTTCCTTAATCCTTCACCAGGGGTCTTTCTCCCCTTGTCATAAATACTGGGTGACCTTTTGCCTCGATCTCTCTTTTCCCCTCAGGCCTTGGGCCGTATCCTACCTCGCGCGGAGGTGAGGTAATTCTTTCTCTTCCTTCTTCCTTTCAGCTAATACCACTATGTGAGTTCTCACCAATAAAACGTTTCCCAAATTCTGGGAACACGCTAAGAATACACGTACGTACGTACGAACACTCACCGCAACACACACACATAATATTCACCACACAAACTCAATGTAACTGTCCATGTGCTTGTAACTTGTTGTTAATACATATATTTGTTTATATTCTTTGTCTTCTTTGGACTTAATTAAAGTCCAAAATTCTCATGTAGCTGGACCGGCTAGCAGGAAATTTTAACCCACGTGTGTTATTTACATCATCACCCCACGGTCCTCTACAAGTGGTTCTTGGGCTTTGTAGGGGGTGAACTTTGTAAAAATGATTGTCGTGGCCTTTTTGTTTTTATTCAATGATGTTCACTCTGTACAAAGCCCAAGATCCACTCTAGGTAGAGGTTTACACAGTAAAAGGCAACACCTCAAGCAATGTGACAATGTCACCAAGGCACAAGGAGCCACCGAAAGTGAAGGAGAAGGAAAACATTTTAGAAGGAATCGGAAACCTAATCCTAAACAGGAAGCAAGAGATAACCCTCTACTCAACTTCCAAAAACCGGGAGGAATGTGAACAGGACGATAGGCAAACTTATGTACTCCTATTGAGGAAAAACATGGTTGCGTATACGAAGAAAGATTATGCCGAATTAAAGTGTCGAATAAGGATAAAATAATTTTATTATTTCTAAATTCCTATAACTTTTATGTACATAGACGCTGAAGGTAAATGGCTGAAGGCCCTAAAGCCTTCCGCAGGAGCTAGTCTAAAGTACACCCGAAGGACGGTTTCAAGGCTTGTAGTAAATAAAAGTTCAGGGTTTTAGGCAGAGACTTTAGAAGTATAGTGTTGATGTAGACTTTAGAAGGATCAAGAAACAAGGGGTAGACCTATACTCTTGTTCAAAAGAAATGGGAAAGCGTGTGAACTGGACGATAGGCAAACCTATCTACTCCTATTGATGGAAGAAAAAATATAAATAAATATGGAATTGGAAACCCCATCCTAAACAGGAAACAAGGGATAAACCCCTACTTCTATTCAAAAGAAGGGTAGGAGTATGGGCAGGTAGATAGGTACACCTATGTACTCCAGTTTAAAAAAATAGATTAGACCATAGGCTATCAGTGGGGAGGAGATGTATACATTACAAATTAACTTAAAACAATACCTCCTTTTTCCATTATAGTTACTCCCCATCAGTCAGAGAAGGAAATGTGTTCGGGTGGGAAGTGACAGTATACTATCTATTAAGTTTAACATTAAGTTTTAATATTATTCTGGTAGGGGATATTTCAACTTATACTAAGCTGAAATATCCCCTACTGGAATAATATTGGGTGTAGACTTAAGATTACCATTATCTGGGTCCCCATCAGCACTATTCCAGAAAAGATAAAAATCCGATAACTTACATTTAGGACGGGTGAATTATTACATACGATTTCTTGGCCCAAATATATCAGCATGTCTTCCTATGGTCAATATTGACCTCCCCTCCTCCTAGTGGTTGTAGAAGGGCAACCAAGTAGTAATGACAACAAAATTGTGAAATATTTTTAATTTTTAAACGGATCGTAATTTATATATATATATAAAAAACTGTTTCCAAGTTTTTCGTTTTCTGCTTTTTTTTTTAGCTAAAACCTAAAAACAATACTGATGACTGTTTCCATAGTTAAAATGTGCATTAATTACAGCTAAAACGGTAGATTTCGGTTAAAAATAGATGTTTTGTATCCACGTGTAGTAGCCGCCGCTTGACCATATGGTGAAGGAAATTATGTTTGTTCTCAATGTAGCAAGGAACGGTTAGCCATCTAAGATCGTCAGTTATTCATGAAAATGCCGTATATCATCTATGAGTATGTGACAATGACCACAGCATCGGAGAATCGACAAAATTAATTTATCAGCTTTGGTTTTGTTTGATTTTTCATCTGTTTATATGCACATCTATAGATCCACTTTGAAAATGCCGCTCATTAGCTTGTGGACTTATAACCTGGTTCCGAAATCTCATTGATTGGTCAATCTATTTTTAGAGATTGGGAAATTTTGGTTTCTTTATTATTTCTTTAGTTCTTTCTTACATCTTGATTTTGAAAGCTTTCAGATTGATTGGTCGAGCTATGGCTTTGTTTGCCTGGTGGATTTTATTGCCTGGTGAATTTTTTTAATTATTTTTAGAGATAGTAGAAATTTTTATTTCTCTATCACCATAATATAAATGATATAAGCGCAGTTTCAAGGTACAATTTCTTTTTGTAAATAAAATCTCTGTACAGATAACTCTGTAAATGGCAGGGATTGATTTTACACTATATTGATATTATTAAGTGAACTCGCTTTCTAAACCAATAAAAGATCAATACTTTTCAATTCTAACAAATATTGTGGCTTGAGGAAGGTCTGTGGGGTCATTCACATCGTAGCAGCAGAATAGCCTCGTGGTCACGGAGATAAAAGCATACTTGACAGGAAATAAAACGATACAGAAATAACAGGAAAGCATGGTAAATTGTATGTTAATTTCATACAATTTATTTATGTGTTTTGTGTGTATTGGTGTGTGTATTTTTTAGGTTACAATTGTTTCATAGTACATGTAATGATAGGAAGAAGTTACTTCATATTATTACATGCCATATCACAAAGAGAAGTCGGACACGCGTTGCCCGTACGAAGGTTCGTGGCGAAGAGATTGAATTTAAAGTCTTTTGGCGGGATGTCCGTATTTCCAGCAGGATCAATTTTTGTTGCATGCTGGGGCTATTTTTATTATTTTTAATTTATTTAATTTATTTTAAACAAAAGTTTAAATATTATTGTTTTATTTTATTTTATTTATAATTTTCATTATTATTATTATTTTTACTGAGTTATAATGATAATGTCCCTACATTATATCCCCACCAAATTAGCGGAGCTAATCGGCAGTGGTGGATGCTTTATTTAAAATAAAATAGTCATTGTTTTTTGTTTTTTTCTTTTTTATGAACTCTCCACCCGGGGCGTGTAGTTGTGTGTTTTTTATGGTTGTATTTGTTGAGATGGTTGATTTGAAGAGTGTTCAGCAGTTTGTTTCGGTTTGTTCAGGGAGTAATTTTTTAATTTTCCTTGCTACCGTTTTGTGGTGTCACTGTGTTTTTTTATCTCTCAGTAACAACTGTGAGGAGTTTTTTTTTTTTTTTTTTTTAGGCATTTTGATGTCTGGTATATTGTGTCCAGTGTATGGAGGATTTCTTATTTGAGTGTAATGGCCCTTCATAAAGGAGTGATATTTTCAGTTTAGTCCTTCTTCAGAAAATTATTTTTTTTTATTTTTGGTAGCGGTAGAACTACTATTTGTGGTTTTTGGGAGTTGTAGGTCGATTTCAGTGTAGGGCGTTTATCCATTTTTTTTTCTTTTTTAGCCATTATAGTTGTTCTTTTTATGCTGGCACTCTATTATTCCGCTTGTTTGGAGTGGTATAAGGTCATACAGATTGGCAAACATTTCAAATTTTGTGAACCAGCCAATTCGAAGGTGTTTTCGTAAATGCTGGAGTTTTAATGGAAACTAGTATGTTGTTTTGTTGTCCCATGTCGATATATAAATAAAAAAGATGTAGATAAAGAGAAATGTTTACTTGTTTCGCTACTTCGCTTGGTTTTTTTATGGGCAGACGTCGAAGTTTGTTGAAATTGTTTTTTTAGGAACGATGGTTTTATCTTCTTCGGCATTGAATTATCAGCGTATGCGGGCGGTATTTATATTTGTTGTCGCAACGTTTCTTTTCGAACGTCGTTTTTTTATGGTGTGGCGAATAAGATCCTTTTTTGTATACATCAGTGGTCACCAAATGATGTGGTCAATGGGAAGGTTTTTGGACGTCGGGTATCACCAAAATGAATGATGAGGTTTTTATACATGTCGGGAGTCAACAAATGATGTAGG